TGATGCGTAGTTTAAGGATTGTTGATGGTAACTCGTGCTGACTATCAGTGTTTTCTTTTTGAATCTAGGCGAGTTTCATAAGGTCGATTCCTTGGAAACTGTTCAAGGAAGTTATGTAAGACAAGGCGTCTGCAACTACATTGTTTGCTCCAGAAATGTGTTGAATATCTGAAGTAAACTGTGTAGTGTAGTCCAGTTGTCGAGACTGACTGGGAGAGTACTTGTCTGAAGTAAAGTTTAGAGAGAATGTGAGTGGTTTATGGTCAGTGAAGAGATTGAATTCACGACCTTCGATGTAGTGTTGAAAATGTCGTACAGCACAATACATAGCTAGAAGTTCCCTACCGAATTTTCCGTACCTTGATCCAGTGTCTAGCAACCGTCTCGAGAAGAATGCCAAAAGCTTCCAGAAGTTGTTAACCCATTTTTGAAAGACTCCTCCGATTGCTGAGTCGGATGCGTCTACTGCGATACTAATGGGTGCTCAGGTGTTCTGATGTGCGCGCATTGTTCTTTTAGCGATGAGTTCCTTAATTGTGGAGAATGCTTTACGCGTGGTGCCGTCTAGATTGATGGACTTTGTTTTTTTACGAAGTGGGTCGGTTAGCGGTTTCAGTATAAATTGTATGTAGAATTTTACAAAGCCGTTAAACCTGCGTAAATGCATCTGTTGAGGAAGTTTGGCTAAGAAAATTTGTTTCAATAGGCCATCATCGAAGATTCTTTGACCAATAACCCCACTCATTCTTTGCAATATGTCTGTCACAGTACCGACTTGCGGGTCGATGTTAATAAGGAGTTCGTATAACCTTTGTCGATCGGTTAGGTTTCCGCGTTTTCGGATAGATGGTTTCAGTGTTTCGTAGGGTTCATAATCATCACTTGGGAACATGCCAGCTGTTACGTACCTGTTGAATCTACGCGGTGGTGCCTTGACTACTGCGAGTAATTGTGCATGTGTGTCGTTCACGCCGTGCTCGTGGACGTCGCTTTCTGCGCAATAGAACCAGGCTTCGATGTGGTCTGGCTAGAAGAGGATTAGTTGGAACGAAGGTGGGGATATTGTCTTTTACTTAGGTACCTTGAGTGTTTGTTCATTCATGGTTAAATATCAAGTAAGAGAATGAACGAGTGATATATATATATATATATATATATATATATATATATATATATATATATATATATCCAAAAACACGGCAAAAACACATATCTCAGTATATAACAAGTTAATATAAAGCAATAATTCCAAAAAGGAACAGACTCACAATTTACAATTTGGTGTATCAGATCACATTAGGCTCATCAATAAAGATGCCACAAGTACTTGGATTTTGACAACGCTTTAACCAGTAACACTTAATATGAATCGTACCCACGAAGTGAAATCAAATGACATAAGTGAGGGGGTTCAAAGATATTTTTGACAGGCTATCAATATATCGAGGATCGTCTGGTCTAATCTGGTTAGCGATTGCAGGGGTTGTTGAGCACGGCATTCTCACTCGTGGTCTGATGTGGATGCATGATCGAGCGCCCTGAGCTAGGTGAGTCCATTAGAACTAATGTGGTCAGCATCCAATGTGGAAAACTTACAGAAATATTTATTTTGGGGATTTATTTGCCGCTACATGAGTATACGGATCACAGTGGAAATTCTTTGTACCTAAGAATCGTTATTAATCATTACCAAAAGGGAAACATCCGTTAATTTTATTTCAGTGTCATCCAGTTCTATCGTCCATATCAACCACCGTGGAATGAGAACTACTTAGACATCGAATTTATGTGCTAACTAAAAATCCCCAAAATGCATGTATAACTAATTGAACACAGATCAGCATGGTATATTTGTAATTTGTAATGAGCGAACAACCAAGTAAAAATTGGGCATCAGTTTGTATCAACACCACAACTACGACAGCATAAATTGTAAATCAGATTACTGCAATCGACTGTACTTCTTTCTAGGTTCATAACGTGTCTATCTGGATACATGTTGGATTTATACTACGTGTGATCCAGAGTGTACTGATTAGCATTAGAATTACCAACGGGGATTAATACTGACCCATTTCGGTCCTCGTAACGTATTCGGTTATTGTGACTTGCTTGGATGTTAACCAAAGATTTATAAACCTTTTTCAATAGATTGTGGGAAATCAATTTATGGATAGTATGTAACATCGATACTAAAGTCAGTGTTCTTGGAGTGATTGAATTTTCTTAAGATGATTCAATTGTTCATGGTTCTGATAACGTAGTTCATGACAAGAGGCTTATTGCTTTATGGCATGGTCTAATTAAGATGAATACTAGGGTGAATCCAAATAAGTGTTTATCCTGTTTATCTGCTTTTGAATGTCTAGAATATCTAGTTGATAGTATTTGTTTTAGATCAGATATGAAGCGACTATCTCAAATGAAAAATGCACAGTCTCCAAAAAATCATACAGACCTACATTTACTAGTGAGTACTTTTCAACAATATTCCCGACTTATTACTAATTGCTCTGATTGTGACAATTATTTATCTTGTATTTTGACATCCAATTCATTTGACTGGGATGAGGAACAAGGGTCTACTAAGGTCCACTAAAGTTTCTGCAAAGTGATATTGTTCTTCGAACTTACTTCTCTAGTATACATTTTGTACTTATCACTGATGCATCACCTGTAGGTATTGGTGCAACTTCGAAACAGAAAGATAGAAGAGTAATCTATTTTATTCACAAACTCAGCGAAAAGCATTAGCTGTGTTCTGAGCGATCGAAAAACTTCATAAATATTTATTCGTAAAGAAATTCGCCATTTTTACAAATCATGAGGTTTTAAAGTTCATTTATCATCTTGGAAAGTCCTCAGCTCGTTCCCCAGCTGCTGTGGTTCAATGTCATAGTGTTGCTTTGACTGAAATGTTCAGCAAAACAATCCCAAACAAATTTAACATAATAAACTAAATTTCTCAACAATCATTACAAGACAGACCTGCTAACATTTGAAACCGTTTGTAAGTGTAAATGGTGGAACGTCCAGATCTTATTAGAAATACTTGTCAATATCTCAGATGTACATACGGTGCTTCATGAAAAAGTTGGAATTATAGTCAGAAACTTAGGTTTCCAGCATACTTCAGGGAGCGGGATGAGACTGTAGATTTATGATGTATTCTGATATTGGTACTGCTTTAATAATAGACTTGGTCGCAAATTGTAGATTTGTTATGGTGTAACTGCCTAATTCATAAGATCCCACGTGGAAATCACATCATTGCCTACCCTGGCTCATCGTATTGTAACAATCATCAATATGTGACGAAGAACACATTTAGGCTGGAGATAGAACAATGTATTTAATATGGAGAAAATATTATTTAACGTAAGTATGATCACGCCTGCAGGATCGAGCAATGCCATCCGACGAATTCAATTTCAAATGAATGTTACCGAGTCCACCATCATCAACCTTCTCTTAGTGTTACATGTTGAGCGTCTAATCTCTAGTTATCTCATGTTCAGCTCTGAGGATTGTGCTTAGGATCCGATGCCACTATATGTTTTCCACTACTCCTGATGATATTTTGTATTTAAATGTACGTGTTGTTATTCCTCATTATTACGTAAATCTGTCCTTGAAAATCTTCATATTGGAGATTTAGGTGCTGAGAAAGTGGAGTTTGTGTTAAGGCTCACATGTTGGTGACCGGCGATACATATGCAGATATATGTCATACAACAAACAATTGTGGAAAATGTGATACAATCGGAAATAAGATATTCTCTTGTCAATAGTACTTTACACAGTTATATTATTATGACAATTAGAAGTATTCGAATTATTGTTTAACTAGATATCACAGAAACAGTGCAATTTAAGCGAAATACAACTAGATGAGCACAAATGAATGTATTGTATTCATAATTCATGATCAATCATTAGTTCATACAAACACCACAACTATTCAAATCGGTATCTTCCATAGTCTTTATCAATTATTAATAAAATTTTATCAGTAAACCTTTTCGTCGAATAGCTACATTATTCATATATATCTTCAAAACCGATTAGTTAGCTGCTTTTGTGGTAATGAGTCGAATGAGTGTTAGTAAATAATCATCTAAGACAGCCTCGCTTTCAGCTGAGGAGATCATTTGGGTAGTGTTCAGAGATATTCTTCAGATCCTACATATTTATGAAATCAGAGGAAGCGTTCGGTATATGGTAACTAAAATATTTCAGGGAATTTAAATTTGCAAACTGAAGTGTGCTATATGCTTTTGACGAGATATTATGTCGGTAAAGAAAAGGATAGTTTATCTGAGAGCCATACTGATACCTAGTTTGTCAGTCGTTTTAATCGCTTATGAAATATTCGTAACACATTCGACACTATAATACCTGTAAATAAATGAAACAAAGTATTTCCAGTGATAGGAAAGTTGTTATTTGACTGTTATTACTACTAATATTGTTGAATTAAAGTAAATATCTGCTCCTTTAGTAAGACAATAGATGTGTTCTTTCAAACCCATGAACTCATTAAATTTACTTTGGAAATATCTGACTAATCCCGATTACCGATTGTATATGATTACTATTGAAAGATCTACTGAAATTGTAATCATTTTGAGAATTTGTGAAACCGTGGAGGTTAAGTCCACTATATATGACTGCAATAAGTAGTATCCCGTTAACTGAGTAATTATGTAGGCTAAATCTTGAGATTATTCAAAAGAGTGAACACAAGTTGTGAAGATAGTTTATTGTTAATGATTATTAAAATTCCACAAGCATGCAGAAAGCAAGCACACATCAAACAGAGTGACCTGTGTGTGTGTGTGTTTAAAATCCATATATATTTGTGAATGTTCATTGGTTGTAGATAAATTATTGATTGTTTGTGTTTACAACCAATGAGAGAATAAATGAATATTGATGTTTAGACATGAGCTCAAGAAGACACACATTAATTTATATACTGGATTAAATGCTGAAATTACATTGTAATGGACAAATAATACAATAGTTCAATGGGTTCACTACAAAATAACAGGTATGTTTAATTTACAAATTAGTCTGTTTCTCACAATTATTGTAATTCAATTTGGACAACGGTATTCATTTTTATCAAGGAGAATTGAAATTTGGTTTGAATATATTTCATACATCTAAATAAACAGCTGAGTAAAAATGAATCATCTTTTCTAAAGAAGAGACCTCAGATAACATAAACTCTGTTAAGAGATGAAATGTTTTGGAAATTATATCGAAAGTGAAGAACCATCAGTTGCACAAATGTTTCAAAGTACATTTGATTTTCCTATGGTATTTGTTCAAATTCTGTTAATAGAGTTAATTAAACAGTTAACAAGTCCGTTGTAATTTATTCATGACTTATTTCATAAATTTTTAAATTGCGCGGAAACGTCTACATAAAATTGTTTTCAGTAGATTACCTTTAGCTTTGTAATAACGTCTCTATCTCTGTTGGTTACAATTTTTCTTATGGACTACGAGCTCCATTTGGAAGCTGTAATGATTTCTGAAAGGTTATGACATCTAATCTTAAAGCCTCGAGGATATGAGTGAACAAGACTAGCATTAATTGATTTTCTGAAATTCAAATAGAGATAGCATTGTTGTGATCCTAAATTCACTTCACGTGGGATCCTAATATATCGGGTGAATTCATGTTGACTAATTATCATACCTTACGTCAAGATGATTCAGTGATACTCATGAAATAAAAAACTAATGGCAGTTATTACTTTAACATGGAGTTTCACAGGATGTCAAACCCAGGACATTCGGTCATGCTCACGTGTGCCTAACCTGTAGACCACCTGTAAATTAAAACTGTTTGGTAGACGTTAAAAGCACTTGCATCTATGTTTAGTATTCTCACTTTGATAATCTTTCTTTCACTTCTTTCGAAAAGGTCCAGTTTTGGGTTAATTACAAACGATCGAATCAGGCATTTCGTCAATTCCATTTCCTCATGAGACGTGTTAGGCGTTTAGTTGTACTGGCAGTTCAACTTGCAGTCATAGTATGTACAAGTTATCAACTGACAAAATTACTATCTCAATTCAAATGGGAGGAACAATTCGGCTTATCAAGAAATGATGATGGTTTCTCCTACAATGAATTACCACGTGAAATTCATTCAAGTTCAGTGGGTAATTTAAATCAGACCTATTATACTGCATCACAAATGAAGAAGTATGAAAATAAAATTACACTCGGATTTACTGAGAAAGATCTTGAAGAATTATATGAAGTGAAATCTACTCCAGCTGCCGTGAGTTTCTTAGAATGACTTTTCTACTAGATTTTGATAGTAATTGCTTCAGTTGACAGAACTTCTCATTTCGTTCTATACATTGTATCATAATCACTCTGACCCTATTTTTACTTAATATTAATAATAATGAATTACTCACGATATTGTTATTTCAGACTACTTTTTTTCCACCTAATTATGATGTTGAAAACATTCAAGTTGTACCGGTGTTCTGGTTGTTTAGTCGGCATTATTATGAGAAAGAGATTTCTGTGTCTGTCTAATCAATTAGAGTTGGACACAATTTCAATTGAACTAAAACCATATTAGCAGTAAATAATATAAGGTCAGGAGGCATTAAACGAAGTTGACATCCCAGCTTCAATCGTCGAAGTAGCGTCACATATTATTGGGATTATAACACCATTCAATATTCTCGGCTTTATTCAAGTCATTAGATTTCAGAAAGTTTACAAGTTTTCATAATTTTTATTAAAACAGGTATCAATGCAAAGAATCTTCATACTCTTGGAAGTGCTATCTAAAGGCCTATTCCACAAAAATAATCAAATTAACAGCGGTCTGCAGTAGTCTTTTACCACAAGAAAATACAAATGTAGAATATTCTTTATAATAACTTGTAATCAAGCTCTACATTTATACAACCGCTTTATTATTCAAAAGATGTAGCCACTTTTAAGACAAATGGATTTTTCGTAATCAAGTTTGTGAATTTAGAATAGTTTGCAGAAGCTGAAATGACTAATATGCAGCGTTGCCTTAATTCACGTTTTGAATGGAATGAAATTGTGAGGCCAGCGATTTTAGTTCAGTTCTAAGCTAGTGAAGATAAACAAAAGATCAATATACCACTTTAGAAAATTACTACAGTAACTTCCATTTTCATTGAGATTGAAAGAGAAAAACAGATAATAATACGACACCGTACTAAACTTCTACTCATCATACCTCATAATTCATAATTGTTAAGTGAATTTCTTTAGAAATAAAGTCTATGGACTGTGTATTGTTGTCAGACTTGTCGTGCACTCAGAACTTTTAATTCTATCTAAATGAAAATAATGACCAGTACTTATTAATGTTTACGGGTATTTTAAAGTCTGCTGTAGATACTATCACCAAAATTCTATCGTTCTGTATAGCCTTCGCTTATTCGATTGAAGTATCTCTCCCGTTAATTGTATTTTGCAGAGAAAAATAATTCTCAACTATGGAAACCTTCGTATCGATATTATTCGAAACTTCTCCTTCTGTTTCGCTTGTGATTGTGAACTGATTTTCGACAGATCAAGATGGCTTGAAGCCGATGTTATAATCTTGACAGATCACTTGTATCCTAAAGGTCCAAGACCACCAAATCAGCTATGGTTCATTTTTGTACATGAATCTCCCCTATACATCAGAATCGCTGATGAATTGGGAAATAAAGTGAGTTGAAAAAACTTTTTACTTACTTCAGATATTGGGAAATGTGAATGCATTCATCAATACGTCTGCTAGTTTCGTCAATTGCATGTGAACGGCCTTAAAACCTGCATTAACTCCTATTAAATAGAATTTATCAACAAATTCATTAAAAGTAGAATATCAGATGAAACATCCAAGTATGGTTTTTAGCATAAGGTGGTTTGTTCAACATTTGTTATTTATTACTTGTAACTCAAAATATATAGTGAGTCACTAGTTTAGAACAATAGGACATTATTAGGTAACCTCTGGTTATATTCACCAGAAATTTTAATGTGACAGCTATGTGATCAGCATTACCTTCACAATAACTTAATTGTTTCGATTATTTCAAACACTAGCAATTGTCTCTACTGACATAATGACAAAACTGAAATATTGTTTGCTTTCCGTTGATTATTCTGTGTTTTGGAAGTCACATGTAATGAAGTTTGATTCTTGTTGGAATAATGTGAACAATCTAGCACCTTGCTTTGTTGAATATGTGGTTATTAAAAGTAAAATAATTTATTGAGTATACGAAATAATCAGTTTCTACTTGTTTATTCAATGCATGAATAATGTCAATAATATTATAAAATGTACAGTCATCCACATGAATATTTATCTCCTGAGATATTGCAGTAATAAACATATATGTATTTTACTTTATTTAAAGATAGAACCTAATGAAATCGTATTATATGCAACTGTCTATAAAAAACACTGAAGTGACAATGGTAAGGTTTGGAAGTATTTACTTCGTAGCTTCATGACTGCTACAAATCTTCTCCACCATCTCATAATCAATTAAGTTTATCCTGATTATTTGCAATATATTTTTGCTAATTAGAAATCATGCACTGACACAAACGACTCGATGCAAGAGAACATGCATTCATGAAACATGAGGGCTTATAGTTCGATAAAATGTTCCGGTTTTACGGGGCTTAATTTTTTTCAAAGGATATCGAAAACAATCACCTACTCGAAAACATCAGCTCTCGATTTACTAGTTACTAGTATATGACTAGACTGTGTAAATATTTTTCGTATTGGCATTTTGAAATTATTCTTCACATATCTAAATGTTTAGTATATTTTGATGTTTTTCACTCAGGTCAACTACACAATCTCTTATCGAATGGATTCAACAATTTATGTACCGTATCACAATTATATCCCATTTGTTGCTAGTCATGGTCCAGATACAAAATACGTACTTCCTTCCCGTAACTATGCCACTGGTAAATCTAAAATGGTAGCATGGTTCGTAAGCAATTGTCAACCTAAAGGTCCAAGAATGATGTATGGAAAAGAATTATCTCGTTATATTCAAGTGAGAACACAGATTATATAGTTACCAATTTCATTTCATATGTTTGCCTACAATGGTTCCAGTACATAACAAGTTCAAACGACAACACGATTTTAAGTCCAATATGAAATAGTTTTAGTGTTGTATTTCAGGTAAACATTTTCATCAGATCAAAGCATAAGTTAGGAAGTGGATGGAGTATAAATTTGCCTTCTTGATTAAGTCATTGTAGAGATTTTCGTCAGTTTGTTTAGTCCAAGAATAGTATGATCACACAGACATACATCATGTCACACGTATATGAAAATGGTGTGAGTAAAAGCTAATTGAACAGTGAGAAGACAGGGTTAATCTCGTTGTTCAACTAAAGCTTATAAAACAACTCATTGCTTTAATAATTAATAATTCATTCATCAAAATAATTATTAGTATAGTGCGTAAAACATTTAGTACTCAAACGAAAGTTGGGCTTTAAATTGGTTCAGACAAGAATGAGACTAAGTGAGTACAAGTCTGCTGCAATTTATTTATAATTTTGAATCTTATCAGTTCATTATGCTTTGAACTTGTCACTGACTCTTTAGGATTTACTATAACATTCATCTATGATTGATTCTATTTACTGGATCTAAAGTTCATCAAACACTACATCACAAATAATAACTGTTATTAAGTGACTTTCACGACAATTTTTATTTGCCATATGGACTGTTATTGAGCCAATGTGTGTGGAAATTATGTGAATTTACACACTTTAGTGATTGTTTTCAATAGATATTAGGAACGTACTATAATATCGACAAATTATGAAGCTATGATTTCGGCTTCTTCAATAAATTCCAATTTTCTGTGGTTTGACGTGTTAAAAAATCTGAAAAGCAGTGTTCATGGTAGTGATGACCAACATATCAGTCGCATAGTAAGTACTCATTTTTCAATTTGATCACTCACTGAATTACGACTTACAGCCACTGCATATCTGTTCCTGCATTCCTTTTGTGTGACTGTGTGTTCTGTCGATGAATTGGACATTTATTGCGTGACACAAATAGACGGAAATAAAGTATGACATGTTTTGGAAGACTTGTATCTCTGATGAGAAAAATAATACGGTCAAATGGTGTGGATCAGCCGAAGCAATTATGAGTGTAGCATCAGGATATATGATTAGATCAACTCTCTTTCTATTAAAATGTATTTAATCCTATAAAAAACATGTATCTGTGATGTGATACAGTGGTCGCATAAGTTCATGAATATCACAGTTTTCTTGAAATTTCTTCCAGCAGAATAAACGATTAGTGTTCATATTTTATGCTAGCGAGAAAGGAATGTGACTGCGATACTCAAACGTTAGCCTAGATTGGTGTTATATGTATTCCTGCAAGTGTGATATTTCACGTATGTGTAATATAGTACATTTTGACGAGTATGAATGTACTATTGGATATTCGGTCATTGCTCCAGATACATATTTGTTCTGTCCTGTTGATAGTTATAGGCATTGCAGTTTGCAATTTCGACTATTTGCTTCATAACATTACAAGCAAAAAGACTCAAGAAAGTAAAACCTTCCACATTCATAAATACCTCATTAACCCTCTTATCTTAGCATCTCAAACTTCTTCTCAGCTTGTTTACAATTCAAAAAACATCAAGTTCACTTTGAGAAATTTCTGACTTTTTTATGAGAAATCGATGTATATATATATTAAATATCAAATCGATCTCTTCAATTTGATTTTGTGTAACAATATTCGTGGTCGTTATAGTCGAATAGTTTTCATAACGTAGTCTGATATCCGGTTGCAAAATATTTCTGTTTATTACTTATTTTGTAATTACCAGGCTTCTTTCAATGCTAAAGAAATAAACTGCTTTTCTTTGATTTATTTTATAGGTTGATATTTATGGTCGGTGTGGCATTCTGACATGTCCTAGAGAAGTAGATTCTCAATGTTTTACTCTACTTGGAAAGCATTATAAATTCTACCTAAGTTTCGAAAACAGTTTATGCCCTGATTATATTACGGAAAAGTTTTACGGAAATGCATTAATGTAGGTAAACAATGAAATTTTAATAATACTGTTAATTGTTTACTACATTTTAAACATCTTCCAGTTTATAGCTGCAGTGTATCATCTCTATGTGTTTGACGTGACATTTGATGAACATACTACATCATTTACTGCTTCTCTACTAACTCTCGTCGAACAAATTTATTTAGAGCTTTGCTAATTATTCGTAGAGCCAAATATCCCAGTTATATATTTCAGGTGGGTGTGAAATTGATTTGGTAAATGAGTGCAGTGTTGTAATTGTTCGATGACAGCAATATTCAAAAATTGATGAAGTCTAGTCAGCTTCAACAAGACACACCGTGATTTTAATAGACTGTAACATATCACTCATTTTCAAAAGATAGATCAGAGTGGTTAAGTTTAATTATCTGTGATGAATAATTTATTTTCTCTCACTTCATTTGTCATTTCCATCACTTCACTAAAGCATTCAACTATTGTATCTGGTTTGTTTAATTAACATAGCAACAATATAATTCCAGTTGTGATGGGTGCCTCATATGAAGAATACAAACGTGTCGCTCCTCCTCATTCATTTATTCATGTGGATCAGTTTGAATCCCCAGAAAAGCTTGCCAATTATTTGAAGTATTTGGACAGAAACGATACTGCATACAATGAGTACTTCTCATGGTATGAACATGGGACCATAGGTGTTTGGTTTCCATTGCCTCAATGCGCTATATGCTTATTGGCACATACCGCTCATAAACTGAAACCGTATACATTCCCAAATGTTTCGAAATGGTGGAACGATGCTTGTGTTGGTCGTAAACTACGCTGGAAATCTGTCGATTAGCAACTTTTCTGCAGTTTTGAATAATACTTATATCACAGGTAACTATGATTTCGACTCTGTATACTGTAAAGAGATTACGATTTCATTAGTTTGTTACTTTTATCAAAAATTCACTCAAAACTATTTATGGGATGCTTAAGACAGAATAAAATGTGTTCATTAATATTTCCAGTTTATTGTTTCTACAACATAAATCTATTTATCAGCAGTTATATCGTTTACACATTGTTTAAAGTTTAATGAAAGAAGATGAAAATAGCGATTGACAACCGACCGACTGAGCACATTTAGTGTATTCTTAAACTTATATTGTCTTGAAAAACTGAGTGTTTACTGAATCGTTGATTTGTTCACCTTATCTATGAGCAACAGTCGTGCTGAAGGTTTGCCAAGACCTAAACATCAGTTGAATTAACTACTTTCGGGAGTCTCATCCCATTTCCAAATTTCGCCAATTACATCTGAGATCAGTTTTGACCATATGGTTAACCTTCTTCAAAAGTTGTCAATGTATTGCAGCAGTGAAACTCTCCTTTGACATAGACTGATGTGATCACAGAAATAGGAAACCAGTTCGAAACGCTAAATGCACTGAAATGCTTTGAGAATTTCAGGAAGTTTCCTATCACTCGAGAAGTCGTGATGCACATACTTACTTACTTACTTACTTACTTACTTACGCCTGTTACTCCCAATGGAGCATAGGCCGCCGACCAGCATTCTCCAACCCACTCTGTCCTGAGCCTCCTTTTCTAATTCCATCCAATTCTTGCTCATTTTTCTCAAGTCTATCTCCATTTCTCGACGTAATGTATTCTCTGGTCTTCTTCTTCTCCTTTGGCCTTGATAATTCCATGTGAGGGCTTGCCTTGTGACTCAGTTGTGTGCTATCCTCAATGTGTGTCCTATCCACTTCCAACGCTTCTTCCTGATTTCTTCCTCCACTGAGATGTGGTTTGTTCTCTTCCATAGTAGGTTGTTGCTGATAGTGTCTGTCAAACAGGTCTGAAGTATTTTGCGTTGACAGCTGCCAATAAACACCTGCATCTTCTGGATGATGGCTTTCGTAGTTTTCCAGGTTTCCGCTCCATACAGTAGAACTGAATTGACATTTGTATTGAAAATCTCTACCTTGGTGTTGGTTGACAGTTGCTTTGACTTCCGGATGTTCCTCAGTTGTAAATATGCTGCTCTAGCTTTGCCGATCCGCGCCTTCACATCTGCATCAGATCCACCCTGTTCATCAATGATGCTGCCCATATATGTAAAGGATTTTACATCCTCAAATCTTCTCTATCAATTTTGATTGGATCGGTGCATGCTGTGTTGTTTCGGAGAACCTTGCTCTTCCCTTTGTGTTTATTGAGACCTACTGCTGCTGAGGCTGCTGCTACACTGTTCGTCTTCTTCTGCATTTGTTGTTGCGTTTGCGATAGAAGGGCCAGATCATCTACGAAGTCCAGATCGTCCAACTGCACCCCAGATGTCCATTGTATCCCGTGCTTCCCTTCAGATTTTGACGTCTTCATGATCCAGTCGATCACTAGGAGAAAGAGAAAGGGTGAGAGTAAGCAACCTTGCCTAACACCGGTCTTCACTTCGAACGACTTTGTCAACTGTCCTCCATGCACGATTTTGCAGTGTAATCCATCATATGAACTCTGTATGATATTGACTATCTTTTGAGGCACGCCGTAGTGTCGAAGAAGCTTCCATAATGTTGTCCTGTCCACGCTATCAAATGCATTTTCGTAGTCAATGAAGTTGATGTAGAGTGATGAATTCCATTCAATTGATTGTTCCACAATGATCCGTAGAGTTGCGCTTTGGTCTTTTCCCGGTATTGAGAGAAGAGTGATGCCCCTGTAGTTATCACAGTTGCTGAGATCGCCTTTCTTCGGTATTTTGATCAGAAGTCCTTCTTTCCAGTCTTTTGGTACTTGTTCCTCATCCCAAATCTTATTGAAGAGAATGTAGAGTATCCTTGCAGTTGCCGCTACGTCTGCTTTTAGTGCCTCTGCTAGAATGTTGTCCGGTCCTGCTGCTTTGCCACTCTTGATTTGTCTGATGGCCATGCTGATTTCTTCAATTGTTGGTGGGTCAACGTTGATTGGGAGGTCCATGGGTGCTGCTTCGATGTTGGGTGGGTTCAGTGGAGCTGGTCGATTCAAGAGTTCTTTGAAGTGTTCTACCCACCTGTTTTGTTGCTCTTCAATGTTGGTGATTACCTCGCCTTCCTTTCTTTTCACTGGTCGTTCTGGTTTGCGGCGATTTCCAGAGAGTTTCTTTGTTATGTCATACAGTTGTCTCATGTTCCCTTCTCTTGCAGCCTTTTCCGCCGTCTTTGCTAGATCTTCCACATATTTACGTTTGTCGATTCTGATACCCCTCTTCACTTGTTTGTTTACTACTGTGTATTCAGCTTGTGCCTTGGCTTTTTCTGCTCTTGTTCGACTGGTATTGATTGCTGCCTTCTTGTTCCTTCTTTCTTGAGTCATGTCCAGTGTACCAACAGTGGTCCATTCCTTGTGATGATGCTTCTTGTGACCCAGGACCTCATGACATTTTGAAGTGATTGCCTCTTTGATCCCCTTCCAGTTGCTCTCCACAGTAGTTCCTTCTCCATTGAGTAGATCATGAAAGGCTTGGAACTTGTTGCTGAGGACTATCTTGAATTTGTTGAGTTTGTTAGTATCCTGAAAAAAGGCCGTATTGAACTTTTGTGATATTGTCCGCCCCATTGTCCAGTGCTTCTTCAGTTTCAATTTCATCTTGGCGACCAGCAAATGATGATCTGATGCTGTGTCAGCTCCTCTCTTGATTCTCACGTCCTCTATAGTTCTCCTGAACGTTTTGTTGATGCAAATATGGTCGATTTGGTTTTTCGTGGTGTGATCCGTTGAAGCTCACGTGGTTTTGTGAATGCGTTTATGTGGGAATATGGTGCCGCCTATGACCAGTTTATTGAAGGCACATAGGTTTGCGAATCTCTCACCATTTTTGTTTCTTTCTCCCAGTCCATGTCGTCCCATGATGTCTTCATATCCAGTGTTGTGCGTTCCAACCTTGGCGTTGAAATCTCCCATCAGAATGGTCAGGTCCTTTGTTTGGCACTTCTCGACGATTGACTGCAGCCTATTGTAGAATTGATCTTTAGCGTCTTCGTTGTAGTCATTGGTAGGCGCATAGCATTGGATGGTTTTCATCGAAGTGCCTTCTTTCTTTGTTTTGAACGAGGCTTTGATGATCCTTGGTCCATGAGATTCCCATCCTGTAAGTGCATTTTATGCTTGTTTGGACAGCATCAATGCAACTCCTTGTGTATGTGTGGCATTTTCTTCTTCATGGCCGGAGTATAACAGAAGCTCTCCTGAAGTTAGTCGTTGTTGTCCAACTTGCGTCCAATGTATTTCACTGATCCCAAGTACCTCTAGGTTGTATCTTCTCATTTCTGCAGCAATTTGGAAGGCTCTCCCGGTGTCCCACACTGTACGAACATTCCATGTACCTAAATAAATGGTCGCTCTGGTTGTCAGAAGGGGCATCGGCCTCGTAACTTCCGAAGGAATTCGGCTTTCATCATGAGGCGTCATAATTCTTCTAAATGAAGACCTTCTGACTCCCAGGGCAGAGGTTAAGAGGTTTGAATAATTTTTCCTGGTTAGCGTTTTTTTAGCGAGTTAGTTTTCTACGGGATGGGGACGCTAACCCCATGCTCAACCCTCCCCCTTTATCCGGGCTTGGGACCGGCAGTAGCCCCCGGAGGGACTCCAGGCGGAGTTGTGATGCACATAACTTATAGTAAATTTATTATTAAGTACTTTTGCATTTATTGTTACAATTGTTTATGAATTAGATGATCAACAGATAATAGAGTAAGAAGACAAGAAAGTCGATTTATAAAATTATCAAATGACGGATGATCGATTACAGTTGACTGCGTTGACCGAATGTGAACGATATCAAATTGAAATAAAGAAAACATTCTTAGAAACGACGAATGTCCTTCGACTGACTCTTATTTCTGACACACCAGTAATAAAATTGACCGAGTTGATGCAAAGCTGTAGAAAATGAATTTTTAAGAATGGCTAGCCAATAATATTGAAAGTGTTGCATCGTAGCTTCGTAACTATTAGGCAGATGTCTTGTAAAAATTAATTCGTTGCTTGGTGATATATGAGAAATCTTTAAAGTTTGCTAACTACAATATATGAGTGCGACGATCTATCTTGTTCATTTAACCTTCTTTTCTCGTTTGATAATGAAAGAATTCACAACTTTGTCAATCCATTCACAGGAGACACTGCATTTATTTACATACAAATGTAACTCGTTTCCCTTGGTTGTTATATTAAACTGACTAACCACAAAAGCTAAAAATTTAACATCCAACTGGTTTAGCATCATCGGTGAGACTATTTATTCAAAGCCCACCACATTATAGTCTGGGGTTGTTGAAGTTAATAAACAGTGGAGTAGTTTCTAGGGCTCCTAATGCACTATTTCTAGAGAAAGTATTTGAATTCAAATCATACTAATGAGATCCTATGTAAGATTGAGAAACTGTTATTGGTAGGACGACAAATATCATCTACAGAATAGACACAGTGAACGTTTTCGTCTGCGTCATGACAGATGCATTGAGTTATCGTTAAATATGTATTAGTAAAATGACCAGAGGAACAGAATAGTGACTGAGTAGATGTTGGGGATGATAGATCCCCAAACTCATATTTTTAAATTTTATCTTATCCATCAACTTATTGATTAAATGTTTGTATAGCAGTTAGTTTATGAACCTATCAATTAGATGTGCAAATAGGTCAATTGATGAACTATCGATTAAATGTGTTTAAAATTTTTCTATGACAATATCGATTGTAAATATTGTATAAATACGCGTGAGTTGTGTGTTTGACTTGACTTGTTAGCTGCTGTGTGTCTGCAGAATACACTTCTACACCTTACCCAGACTTCTTGATCGAGTTAGCAGAGTTGGGGGACAACGAACCAGAATAGCTATCGAGTCACTGAGTCACTGATCCTTCGTTCGTTGAGTAAGACGCATCAGTAATAGCATTCAAGCGAATAACAAATCATAACAAATTGGCGACGGTGGTTTTTGAATTATGGACCCTGCAGAACTTGAACTATTACTTGAGCAGCAGCTGAAATTGATGCAAATGTTGATGGAGACCAAGATTACGCCTCCTTTACAACCAAGCACGTCTAGTTCGACCACAGCACCATCGGTTGATGGCATCGCAAATAGCATAGCTGAATTTCGTTACGATCCTGATGCTAATGTTACTTTCGAGATGTGGTTCAGGCGTTATGAAGATCTATTTAAATTTGATTTCGCCAATCAAGATGATGCTTGGAAAGTGCGGCTGCTACTTCGTAAACTGGGTGCAAATGAGCTGGACAAGTTGTTATATCCGAGCGAAGATTAAATTTCAGGTAACTCCCGAGGACTATTAGTGGACTAATATTCTATAAATATTCTTATTGTAAAACTATTCAATCATTAGATTATGTAAATTTATATCCCTCTTATTATAAGCTTTATTTTGATCTATAATTTATTATTGTACGACTTACGGTTCTTAAACTATGTTCAGTCTATTAATTACTGTCCCCCGCGTTCACAGCCACTTTTTGGCTTATTTGTGTACATATGTTATTTTCTAATTTATGGTGTGTTGTGGTCTGTCTGTTTGATATATAAACCGAGTATGTTTGAAATAAACGATCTGCTCTGATCTGCTCTGATTTGAAGCTGGTATTGTGTTCTGGACTCAAGTGGGAGGGCTCTTAGGACATAGGACCAATAAGGACGCTAGACTGCCCATACCGGTTGAACGTCATTGGTTGGCCTAGTGTGAAGATTCGTATAAGTCGTATCCGGATTGGTAGATAGGTCGCGTGATAGCAGAACCAGACATACTCAAGGTCATAACAATTGGCGACGGGGATTTTTGGAAAAAAAAGCGATTCAAGGTCATAACACAAGTATTGCAATCTAATCCTGCCGTTGAACCCACGTGATCGATCATTTGAAGACACAGTTCAAACATTAAGCCAACATTTTGGCGATAATTCGTCACTGTTTAATACTCGTTATCGTTGCTTGAAGCAAACTATGAACGAAGATGATGATTTTCTTACGCATGTAGGCGTCGTCAACCGTGAATGCGAACGCTTCCGGTTAAAGTCCTTGACTGAAGATCAGTTTAAAGCCCTGATACTTATTTGCAGCCTGCAGCACCAAAAGTTTAGTGACTTACGAACAAGACTACTAAGTCGTTTGGATCAAGAGCCGAAACTCACTCTGAGTGATATAGCTAATGAATATCAGCGTCTCATTAATCTGCAACGAGACACTTCTATGGTCCAGAGTGGCGGGTCTAACCGATCTGAAGTACGAGCGGTGCAACAGACACCTTACAAAAACAAATACGTCCCCGCTTCATCCAGTCCATCTCACTGCAGCCCAAGACGACAGACTACAGCAACTCCTCCTGCTCCTTGCTGGCAATGTGGTGCATGGCACTACGTTCGAAACTGCCCATTTAAGCAACATCGACGCAAGAAGTGTAAGGTTATTGGTCATAAGGATGGGTTTTGTCTGAGGAAGAAGACTCCAAGTCAATCCAGAAATACCAAAACGACCCTTCTTAGATCCCGCACCAATTCATTGAGCTTAATATCTTCGTGTCAAAGCTCATCACCAGGTCAGAGAAAGTTTATTACTGTTAACATTAATGGGCATTCATCTAGATTGCAAATAGATACAGCATCAGATGTCACTATCCTCTCTCGTAAAACTTGGACCAAAATGGGCAGCCCAAACGTGCAGCGTACAACGCAAAAGCCTCGTACTGCGTGTGGTAATTACCTTCACTTGCTTGGATAAATGGAATGTACAGTCACTTTCCGTGATTTGGCATTTCTTGGAGTATGCTACATAACACCAGCTGATCGAAATTTGCTTGGGTTAGATTGGTTCGATCACTTAAATTTAGCTGATGTCCCGTTGAATACCATATGCAACCTGGTATCACAACCCCAACTTCGACAACAACCACATGACTTGGAAGCATATACGAAAAACCTAATGACGCAATTTTCAACTATTTTCCAACCTGAATTGGGTCGCTGCACTGCCATGAAAGCAACACTTCGATTGAAAACTGAAGCTAAGCCTGTTTTTCGCCCAAAGAGACCTGTCCCTTATGCAACATTACAAACAGTAGATGAAGAATTGATCCGCCTTCAACAACAAGGAGTTATTACTCCCATTTCTTACTCTGCATGGGCAGCACCTATTGTGGTTATTAAGAAAGCCAACGGCACGACCCGTATTTGTGCTGACTTTTCAACAGGTCTCAATGCAGCTCTGGAACAACATCATCATCCCCTGCCTGTTCCCGCAGACCTATTTACCATGCTGAATGGGGGAAGATTTTTCGCTTAGCTGGATTTAGCTGATGCTTATTTGCAAGTGGAAGTAGATGAAGCATCAAGAGAGCTGTTAACTATCAATACACATCGTGGGTTGTTCCAGTATAACCGTCTACCTTTCGGGGTCAAAACTGCACCATCTATTTTCCAGCAACTAATGGATACTATCCTATCAGGTATCTCGGGAGTCGCGGCTTATTTGGATGACATTCTAATTGTTGCGACGACATTAGAACAGCTGCGAGAACTCACGACATTGGTATTGCAACGCATCAGTGACAACGGTTTCCGGTTACGCCCAGAGAAATGCCAGTTTTATTTGCAGTCGGTAAAGTACTTGGGGTTCATTTTCGACGCCGACGGCCGCAGGCCGGATCCTGAGAATATCCGAGCTATCAAACTGATGCCAACTCCCACTAATGTCTCATCGCTACGTTCCTTCCTGGGACTTGTCAGCTATTACTCAGCGTTCGTTCCATCGATGCATGATATTCGCGCTCCACTGAATAGCTTACTGCATAAGAACAGCTATTGGAACTGGACTAAACAGTGTGACGCTGCCTTTTGTAAACTGAAATCCATTATTAGTTCAGAATTGCTGTTGACACACTACGATCCAGCCATGCCGATCATCGTAGCTGCAGACGCTTCAGCGACTGGCCTAGGCGCTGTTATCTCTCACCAGTTTCCGGATGCGTCGGAAAAAGCCGTTATGCATGCAGCCCGCACACTAACCCCAGCAGAAAAAAAATACAGCGAGATAGAAAAAGAAGCGCTTGCGCTTGTGTTTGCTGTGCGCCGTTTCCACAAGTTCCTGTACGGTCGGAGATTCACACTTCTCACAGATCACAAGCCTTTACTCGCAATTTTCGGGTCGAAATCTGGCTTTCCAGCACATTCTGCAAATCGTCTTCAGAGATGGGCCTTAGCACTCTTGGGGTATGACTTCGACATCCAGTACCGACGCACTCAACAATTCGGTCAGGCGGATGCCCTATCACGACTCATTAGTGACCAGTTGGCGGCTGAGGAAAACACGGTAATCGCATCTCTGCTAGCGGAAGACCACGCCGAATGTTATCTGATGACCACAATACGAACTTTGCCGGTATCTGCAACGGACATACAAAATGCTTCTAAGAGCGACTCCATTATCAAGAGAACTATGAGCTATGTCACCAACGGTTGGCTGTCTAAGAAGTTTGATGGTGATATAAAACAGCTGTATCAGCGGCAGGATTCTCTATGCATTGTAAAAGACTGCTTGATGTTCGGAGAGAGAGTGGTTGTGCCAGAATCCCTTCGTGCAAAAGTGCTGAAACAATTCCATCTTGGTCATCCGGGGGTTAAACGAATGAAATCCATAGCCAGGAGTTATGCGTATTGGCCGCTAATGGATCAACATATAACAGAATTGGTTGGAAAATGTATGCGGTGTCAGCAAGCGGCAAAAGTAAACGCCAAAGTTCCACCAGTTTCATGGCCACAACCTGATCATCCTTGGTCCAGGATACACGTTGACTTTGCAGGCCTGATTAACGGAACCATGTATTTAGTTGTAGTCTATGCCCTTTCGAAATGGCCTGAAATCAACCCCATCATACCACCAACGACGACTAAAACAATACAAATCCTCACAGAAATTTTCTCCCGAAATGGTATACCAAATGCCATTGTATCTGACAACGGTTCACAATTCACCTCCAGCCAATTCCAGTCATTCCGTCAACGACTAGCCATAAAACACTTACACTCGCCACCATACCACCCGCAGTCGAATGGGCAAGCAGAAAGGTTTGTGGATACGTTTAAACAAGCCTTGGCTAAGACAAAAGGGGAGGGGACGCAAGCAGACGCGTTACAAAATTTCTTATATGTGTATCGAACAGCACCAAATGAGACGTTGCCGGAGCGAAAGTCCCCAGCAGAGATCCTAATGGGAAGAAGACTGAAGATGATCCACAGCCTGATGCATCCAAGTAATGCACCGAAACCAGAACGGACAAAGTTTGAAAAGCGATCCACGTACGAAGTGGGATGTCCTGTGTTTGCCCGTGATTACAGACCGACCCATAGTCCATGGACAGAAGCGCGAGTGGTCAGGAGAATTGGCCGAGTCATGTACGAAGTTGAGGTAGGCAGTGACAGGTGGCAACGCCATCGGAATCAGTTACGCAAACGGTTAGTCCCAGACCGCCCATCAACCGAAGTAAATATTCCCCTCGACATCCTGCTAGACACATTCAACTTACCGGCAACCCCACCACAAGAAAAACCTCAACAGCAAGTTGAAACACGTCTCAGACGGTGGCCTATCCGAGAACGGCGAGCTACAGTCAAGATGCAGGTTGACCCCAGGAAAGCCCGCTAATAAAAGAGAGAGGAGTGTTGGGGATGATAGATCCCCAAACTCATATTTTTAAATTTTATCTTATCCATCAACTTATTGATTAAATGTTTGTATAGCAGTTAGTTTATGAACCTATCAATTAGATGTGCAAATAGGTCAATTGATGAACTATCGATTAAATGTGTTTAAAATTTTTCTATGACAATATCGATTGTAAATATTGTATAAATACGCGTGAGTTGTGTGTTTGACTTGACTTGTTAGCTGCTGTGTGTCTGCAGAATACACTTCTACACCTTACCCAGACTTCTTGATCGAGTTAGCAGAGTTGGGGGACAACGAACCAGAATAGCTATCGAGTCACTGAGTCACTGATCCTTCGTTCGTTGAGTAAGACGCATCAGTAATAGCATTCAAGCGAATAACAAATCATAACAGTAGACGAGGTACGTAGAGTTTTATTCCTTTTTGGTCATGAAGCCTAGAGTGGTTTGTGTGGTTTGAGGGAGATGCCGTCGACCTCGTTTGTTACAAATCCGTACCAAGGCATGACAAAAATACCAATACATATGATTAGCGATGGAGACGTATGAGACTGACTTGGATGTGACGAACAAGAATGTATCTTTGAGAGACCAGCTCTTAACCCTATGTTTTGATATACAGTGCGATGGGTATAGAATAGTAGTTGCAGCACTCGAATAATGTTTTCGGTTGATAAATGATGCGGCATGTGGTTATACATGTGGACGAAGAGATAAGATGAACGTAATGGTTTCTAGTCAGCTAGTTAGAGGCATCCACAGACATAATAGGAGGCGACTTCGAAATGAAAAATGTATGTTATGATAACATAAATTGCTGACCTCGACTAAGTGAATGAATGCAGTATTAGATCAAAATGACATGAAAAAAATTGGAACGAACTCACTTAAAGCAGGAAAATTTCTTGTTTTTGA